AAATTACATTTTTGTATGTATTTGCTGGGGTGCATTTTGAAAAATAAATCTCAAATGTCTTTTTCTTTATAATTTTAATTAAGTAAAAGGATGAGCGATGTTAAAGAAGAAAATAAAAATGCAAACAGGATGATTGATTACTAATTTCATTTATGAGTCAAACAATGCAGCCACATTCTTAAAATGAAAAAGCATATCTGAAAATGCTTTTACATTTTAAATATGGTAACGATTTGCTTCCATATATTTTTGGCGCCCCCTACAGGTTGCCTATTAACGCTAAGGGAAGCCAAAAATTCAAGTACAACACAGCCTGTTCAACCATCTGAGCCATCAAATCTGGTTTTCTTCTGAGTAATATTGGCTCTTGTGTTTAAAGGCTAACTTAGAATTTTGTTACAGTACACAGAGTGACTACTGTGTTGTTGACTACCCATTTCAAGTAATTATGTTGCATTAAATGTCAGTAATTTGTGTTATCAGTTATGTTTTGCAGTCTGTCAGTTTGTTTGTTAGCTGTTACTTTGACAACATGACGTAGCTAGCTTTATTTTCTGTAAAACACCAGAAGGTGCTGCTGAGTACCGGTAGTTTAATAATTAATTTTGACTGCTCTCTATATTTATTATAGATTTTTCTAATTTATTTCTTCTGACCAAATTGTATTGAATTAATTTTCAAAAAGGTGTACAATAGAGTCAAATTCAATATTATAAATTTCTGTTTCATAAGATCAAACATGTCTCCCCAGGCAGCTAAAGTGTTCTTGTACAATATGGTTCTGTCCCACATCACATACTGTCTTACAATCTGTTCACAGGCAGATAAAACGACACTTAAACCTCAAGAATCTCTTTACAAACAAAAAATACAAATTTTGGATTAAAAAAAAAAAAAAAACATCAAAATATCACCATTGTACCATTTTACTAAATCATAAGCTTTTAAGATGGGAAAATGTCATCAAGTATGCAAACCTTTGTCTATTTTACAAAATAATCCATGGTCTGTCATCTCCTCCACTGAGTCAGTTTGTAAAGATCAGGAACACACTGACAGTAACACGAGGGTCGGCTAGAGGAGAATGTGTTGTTCCTCTGCGTAAACGTGCTTTTAGTCAAAGAACCTTTGCAGTCACAGCATCTCAGGAATGTAACTCTGTCCCTCAGAACATCCGAGAACTTACAACATTCACTCTTTTCAAAAAGCATCTCAAAAACTGGCTCATAACACATCAGACATGTCAGCATTAGTCCAATGTCCATCATTAACAAAAAATGAAAATGACTATCCTTAAGGAAGTTATAGTACATTCATTTTAGGTTAGGGCTGAGTTGAAAAAGATTGTGGGCTATTTCCACAAAGAGACCATTTAAAACACCACAACCTCCCTAACATACATTGAAATGTTTTTTTTTTTCAACAGATAGCACACCCGGCAGCTGTCTGTGTTGCCTGTTGGCAAAGTCAGCCCTGAATACATTTGTACACTGCTATCTCAGCTGTGTTTACAGCATCACAGTATTAAATTACATGTCATAAAACACCTTCCATATAAAAAGTCCTGCAATCACATATAATACAAGCAAAATAAAATATTTCCTCTGTAACAGATTCCATGACCCAGCCTCATGTCGGTGCCTTTCAACCTTGTGTTTTTAACTAAGTCATAGTCAAGCAATTGTTTACTTTAAATAAACCACAGTTATTGCTGAAACACCTTTTAACATTAATCACTTGGTATTAAATGACTGATCCAGCTAATATTAGAACAAGCTGTGTTCCTGCACTCTCTTACCATATCCTTTTTTTTCTTCCCTTCATTCTCTCCATCCTCAAAAATGAAAGTCATTGAGATTGTGTTAAAGAGGTTTCCCCAGGAGAGTCTGGGAAACGGGAGGAAGTGTGAAATATCAAGGTTTGGATATCCGTGCACACTTATTTGAACAGAATTTAGATTCTTCTATTGTTGAAAATTATATATTATAAAGAATAATGTAGGGAAATTTTTTAGTCATGTTTGAATAAATCTGCAATGTGAAGCAACCCTAACTTGTACTGTTATTGCAGCAACTTCAGGAAACAAAATAAAAGCTTCTGAGAGACTGAGGTCGGGCCGTTCCCTGTCTGACGCGCTCATTCAAACAAGGAATCCGCTGAGATCAATATGGTGCTGATATTAACTTTATTCACATAAAAGGTATAAACAACGTAGGATAGTGTTTCCAAAATATAACTTGTCAAACGTACCGTATTTTCACGACCATAAGGCGCACCGTACTAAAAGGCGCAGTCTCAGTTATGTGTCCCATTTCTGTATTTAACACACACATAAGG